GCTAAAGATGACTTGAAGGCAATTTTAAGTTAATACTCTCCTAAGCCAGAATTTTCCAAGTGAAATTTGGAGAAACCAAATCCTGAGAGAGAATCTCTGAAGGAATGAAAATGAGACCATTATTCAATGATTCCTGGGTTTAGAAAGGAAAATGGAAACTACCACATCTCCTGCTGGGTGATTTCACTTTTATTACTATTACATGTACTGAAAACCCTGCACAGAGGAAATCTATGTAACATTGTTTTAACTCTGATTCTCAATTTATTTGACTAGTGTACATATTTTTCATTTAAATAAGTTAATTAGTATTTCATATGCAATATTTTGAAAAATTATATCCTATGTCATAGGATAGAATTCTTTCTTCTGGAGAAAGATTATTCTTATCCTTGCATAAGAGACACTTAAAAAAGTTTATTTTTAAATTTTAGATATTCCAGTACCATAAGTTATACATGTAGTTTAGAAAATTGTTAAGAAAAAAAAGATACTTTAAATAGAAAAAATATTTTATGGGAACATGAGATCGGTTTATATAACAGTAGAGTAGGTTATTAAAATAACACTGAGCAAAAATTCCTATAAAATGCATTAAACTCTATGAATTAAATTGGATTCAGCAACAGTAACTTGTTAATCATATTAATCTAATTATAACATGAAACCTTCAAAAGTGTAGTCACAGTGAGTTTAGATTCCTATTTGACATTCACTCATAATAACCTTTTCAACAGTAAGATAATTTGGTTTCAGGAAAAATAATATACATGGACACTCAAAATGTCCTTAATTAATATTTCATGATCAAATGATGCTATGGGAAAATTAATGTTGTACTCAAGATAAATTTCTAGCAACATTTAGAAGGGCTCTATAAACGCATCAGCCCTGTAATTTGTGATTATTGCATTTGTGATTCATATGATTCATATGCTGACATAAATAGAAGGCTGATCAAATATGTATATTAAGCAAAATTGAGAGAAATTCTGGGTTCACTCAATCAAAATTCAATCTCAGTAAAAAATAAGCAAATAAAACTAAGCATAAAAAATATTGTGAAATACCTAAACCTGGTAAAAAGAAATCAACTTTTATTGATTATAAAATCAATTTATAATCTACATAAATTTTATTAACAGCCCAAATATATGTGCAATGACATTTAGGATACTTAGTTAAATATATATTCAAATGACTCTCCCTTATAATTTGGTCATCAAAAATAGCAGTGTCAGTTCAGGTTACATTGAAATAAGCTAGCATTTATTGAATGTATTCTATGCAGGAGATAAAATTCTATGCCCCTCACTGCATTTAATAAGTTACTGCTCAAAATATACTTATGAGGTTAGTATCATAATCTCCATTTTAGGACTCTTAAAACTAAGACATAAAGAAGCTCTTGAATTTTCCTGCAGCTCAAAGATGATGTGAGTTTTATTTACATCTCTGTATATCCACATGTAGAATAATAATTGACATGGAGTTGTGAACTTCATGGATATATTTGAAAAAAATAAATGGCTTGAGGGAATCTAACATAAGCAAGATGACTTCCACACATTGACGGCAGTTACAATAAGTAATAGTTGGTAGGACATTTCCAGTACAACAACTGTCAACATAATTATAAAAATAATTTTAAAAAATAACTTAGAGGAATATCTGTTAGCGATGTTTAAGAAAATTATATTACATTACTTCATTATAATGATTGGTATATATTTAATATTATGAAGTGTGAAATAATACATTATAAAATTATATAAACTATGTCAAAACTACATGAAAGATTTACTAGATTCATTTGACCTAATGTTAGATTCCTGTTTATTTTCTGCAGTAGAAATTATTTTCTGTGTAAATAAAATAATTTAGGATTAAGCTGCAAAATAACCAGAATGCACTTGTAATGTATTGCCTAAAATGCTTTAATATTAAAATTATCCATCTATATTTATATAGTTACTCCATGCTCAATGTTATTTTTTGCATGGTGGAAAACTGAAAGACAATTGGTAGTTAAAGAAATGCTGCTTCTTATCTGTAAATTTCACTCATGTTGGTTAGACAATATTAGCATATATGAATATATCTGAGAATAAATTCTGCGCTACCAATTAAGAGATTATAACTTTTCATTAAAAAGAGTAAATTGCTTTGATCTTAAAAATGTTGAAGGTTATTAAATATGTATGTAAGCAATAGATGGAAAGAGAGAATGGATCAGGATATTAACATAACAAAAGGATATTCTTCTGGAAGTGAAAATCAGTTCTTATGGAAATGGGTAATTGGATAATGGAAGAGTAAGGAAGTTGACCTATGAGGGAAGAGTGTTGCTACAATGGGAGGAATAGTTAATATTGTGGTCAAAGTTTAAGAACATTTAAATTTAAGTTCTTAATAACACAGAACTTTAAACTTTTAATACTGAGCAATAAGATATTGTAACACAGAATATGTGACATGGAAAACAATGATTTAATATTTCTCATTGTACTATTATGCAGGAGGAGGAAAAGACTGCATTCAAGTAGATCTTAGACTATCGAGAAAAGTTACGTAGAATGTAATAATCACATTTAGCAGGACTAGAACAAGACATTAGTATTATTCATCAATATTTTACAGAAAATAAAATGCATTTTTTTTGATACAGGGTCTCACTCTGTCACCCAGGCTTGAATGCAGTGGTATGAACATCGCTCCCAACAGCATCAGCCTCTGGGGTTCAAGTGATCCTTCTTCCTCAGCCTCCTGACTGGTTGAAACAATAGTCATGTCCCCACACCTGAATGATTTTATTATTGTTGTTATTAATACTATTATTTCCTAGAGACAGGGTCTCATCAGGTTGCCCAGGCTAGTCTTGAAGCCCTGGGCTCTAACAATCCTCCAGCCTTGGCCTTCCAAAGTTCTAGGATTACAGTCTTAAGCCACCACACCTGGCAAATACTATAAATTTTGATGATCCATTCTAAAAGATGAAATGATGAAAATGATAAAACGTCTCCTTATGTCTGCCTTGGAGGAATAGATGAAATATTACACTATCAGCCAATGACAAACACATGACCATAAAATTGATTTCCCAAGGAAATTATGGTCATTGAACTGAACAGGTTGAATTTGTGGTATAGGTAATAAAATCAGGCAAGTTGTTTTAAAAGCAGACAGAAACAGCACTATGTCAGTTCTTCAAATATCAGTTTCATTCAACTAATCTCCAAAAAGACAATCTATTTTTGGCAAAGTGTTCTTCATCCAAAGAGAGCTAGGATATTTCAATGTCACAGAAGTAATAGTAAGGGTCAGGGAAGAGATTCAAGAAGTGAGTGCACAAAGTGGGAAATAAAATAGAGGTTAATAACTTACACAGGCCATCATATTACAATTAATGAAAAAGTTACTGTGGCTTTGCCTAAGTTTCCATTGGAGAATGGAGAAAAGATACATAAAGAGGACACATTATTTTTGGAAATATCAAAGGAAAAATTAATTCAGCATCAAATAAATCATTAAGGTTTAAATTATGGTGAGAATTGGCATTAAATATATTTCTTGTTTTTGTTGAAATAATAAATTTCAATAAAGTTTTAATTAAATTATAATTTCTTAATTTATTACACTTGCACAACATTAACATATATGTTTAATTGTTATTAAATAGGTTTTTTATAAATCAGCAATTAAAATTTCAGCTAGGAAAATTCATTTAATCTCCAAAACTAAATTTATAAGTGACAAAAACACTGTGATCTTTGTCTTTATGTTGACTCAAATATTACATCTTTTATTTATACGCAACTGATCAAAATATACTTTATAAAATTGCAGTTGAATGAATTAGTGACAGCATGCTTTACAGTTAATATTAACTTGTATATGCTAGTAAATAAATATAATAATCAGTTAATGATTAAAATAGATTAATGTATTATTTTTTCTTAAAATTAGAAAACATATTTAAGCATTTTTAAATTTAATTTATTTCATGAAACTTAAAAACCACAATGAATATTATACACACACACACACACACACACACACACACACACAAACTGATTTGCTAATCCTGAGCAACAGAAACACAGGAGTAATATTCAAAATTGTTAAACAGACTGTTTAAATATTATAACAGATATATATATATATATGCCAGTTTAAACAGATAAAATTATGCAAATGTTTATATTATCAAAAGACTTAGATATCTTTCTACTCAAATATTCTGTTTTACAATGTTTTATATATTGCATGTCTTCGTACAAATGAAATATTTTAACATGATATTAAGATCCAGTGTGAGGATTCTAACCTCCTGATATACTAAAAATGTATCACTAGGTTTTGTCGGATATACCAAATAGCATCAGTAAAATGCCACTTACCATTTTTTTTCTATGCAAGAGCAATATTTTAGCTGTATTTCTCATTCTCTAGCCATGTGAAATGCCCAATTAAAAAATAAGTTTAAACATATTTTCAGATATTTAGCTTAACCAATAATAATAATAGAGCTAATAAAACACTACAAAAACCCTTTCGTTTTCTCTCAAAATCATAGTTGGTATATATATTTATGTGGGATAATGACAAAGTCTTTTTTACTGTAAAATAAAAATTCTCATATGTGAGATGAAACAAATCTGAAATAATTGCTAGGGCAGTTACAAATTAAAAAGCATTCTATGAAATTGCATTTTATTTTAACTATACCTTTTGAATGAGACAATATTAAGCTATTCTCTCCGAGTCTCTGTGTCTGGTATTTGAATGCTCTTGTGAAAGTATTTGAATGTATATTATTATATTATGTTCACTTAAACTTTTAAAGTGGCATAAAGTCCTCATTAAAATTCAATTAGTTTCTATGACTCTTATTAGCACTGAAAAAACAAATAAGATGACAATAAACATCCGCTTATTTTAAATGTTTCTCTGTTCTAGGACATTAGATTAATATCATCAAAAAACCGGTTATAGGAATTTAAAATGTAAATGTTATGCATTTAATTAAGAAAATATAATTGTCTATTGAGCATGGCTGCAGAGAATTGTCAAGTCAGTATTATATAAAATAATAAAAAAAGATTTATCAGCTTCGCTTCATTTTGAATAAAATAAGTGAAAGTCAAAAGAGCTCAGTGTGGTTTAAAAGATGTGTCAATGGGTTTTTATTTTAGTAACTGAAAATAGTCTTGTAATGAATGATGTTTCTTAATTATTTGTCAAAAATAAGAAATGAACGTGACTTCAAGGTGCATTATCATTACGTTCTCTGAATGGATGACATCTCAGCCATGAAACATTCATACTAGTGCAAGCATTTATATCCTGTGTTAACAATCTATTCTTATAAACAATACTTTATTCATATCCAGTGATTTCAAAGCAGGCCATTTTCCCGTACTATATTATAATTTTTGAGATTATATTAAAATAAGGAATATGATAAGATACCTAAATCTAAACCTAAAATATGGTTCCTTTCCCACTTAGTCAGCTTTCCGTGATACTTCCACTGTAACACACATTCTGTGTCTATGGGGACATTCATACCATAAAATAACTAAATATTCCGAGCATAATGATTACTTCAAATTTGATTTGTACACTCTCATTTATATTAATGTTTGCTTTGCCTTAGGAAGATGACAGGAAATATTTGTTACTGGAAACTTTAATATCTCATAAATAGATCTATCTTTATATCTGTTTATCCATTAGACAAAAGCAATGACGTTCCAGGATAACAAGAAAGGGAGGAAAAATAACCAGAAATGATTTTACCTGTGTATTCATTACCCAATAACTATTGCCTCTGTTCATACAACATACTCTATGCTAGACTTTTTACAATTACACCAAATAAAATGGTTAACAACAACAGAAACGAAGAGAACAAAAACAGAGTCAAATTCTACATTATAGATCTTAAGGTCTAGTGGGGTGTGAGTGAAGACTCATGAGTGTGCATTTCTGACAAGTTTCCAGGCGATGCTGATGCTACCAGTTCAGGGTCCCAGAACTGAAAAGGGAGCCTGAACACATCTGGAAGCTCCATTTGACATGAGGCCTTTAGAATGAGTTGGAATTATCTAGAAAAAAGAGGTGTAGATGGCCCTAGAGATCTTGGAAGCAATACTCAAAGAGAAAATTTTGTGCAAAGAACTGGTAGGAGAGGAAAAAAATTAAGCTTATATTGGTAACTCTATGAAGGTAATGTCTGTCAGCAAAAGTTATTAAACAATTTTTTTTTCAGATACAACATGGAAATGATTCAATGGCCTAAGGTAAATAAAGAGTAAAACAAGTTGTGGTTTTCATACAAGAATTCTAAGCAACAGAAAATTCTGCTATTGAAAAGAGAAAAATATATTCAAAAACAGTGTATCTGCATAGATCTTAAAGACCATAAACACTGCTTATATGAAGGCATATAATGGAAACCAAAATTTTGTGTTACTGCACTGAGGAAAAGATCATGAAATGAAGGGGCTTCTGTGCCATGCACATCCAACAAATTTAACTTTTATCTCTCAGGATTGGAGAATATTGAAGTATTCTTTAAGTAGCTGCATAACATGATTGATTTATATTAAAAAGCACATTCTAGCTTTGTGTGAATATGAAGGCTACAGCTGTGGGTGGAAATGGCAATACTTATTAAAAGCTTCAAGAGATTCTTAAATCTTTTTAATTCTATCCCAGGACCTCTGTTCACCTGGTAAAATAGAATTCAGGGGACCAATTTGAAAGACAAGATCAACTGGGGGATGCAGCACTTTTGGAACAAAATGACAAATGATAATTAATATATTATTAATGAGACTAAAGAAGAGTAAACAGAGTGATATGCATTGAAGAGAATATACCAATATTTGATGGTGCTAGGCTAAATATAAAGAAGTGAAATAAAATGAAAAGTCTAGAAGAATGTCTAATTGATTTTGTGGCTAAACCAAATATATAAGTGATGAAAAAAATATTTAAGAATAGGACACGATGAGTATCTATTTAGTAGTTCAGGCTAGTGCATGTCATTATTTGCAGTACTTGCATATACATAGATAGAGATATCTAGTAAGCACTTAGACACCATATGAATTTTATTACAGGTTTATGGGCAAGAAATAAAGATTTGTTTAAGAAATTAAGTTATTCAGTAATGTATCAAATTAAGAAGAGGGTCAAGTTCAGGGCCTGAGCAGTCAATTAAGGAGAAAACTGATGAGAATTTATGTGCTCTCAGGTCACAACCTTCTGTGCTTCCTTTCATCAAATCTATGATTATTTAAATAGAATTTCCTCTTCCAGTTGAAGTAGAAGCTAATTAAGAAAAAATAGCACAATACATTGTAATGGGTAAAAGTATTGTTTTCCATATATTTCAAATAAATATGGTATATTGTTAGTTACTTAGACGATCCTTTTTCATTTGCTAATATTTTACTAGAATTCTAATTGTCAACATTTGATATTAAGTAAATTGTGCTTTTAATAACTGACTCCTCGGTGGCTCTGTTCAGAGTTCCAAATGTGGACAAAGTTTGCCTGAAGAGAATTGCTGAATTTTGTAGTCTTAGTATTAGGTTATATCATTTTGACATAGGAACTTGTCAAATAGCATTTTCTAAAAACTAATCCATTTAATGTTAAGTAACAATTTCCAGATTTACATTGGCTAAATACAATGGATAAACTGGATTACGAAAAAGAAAACAAATACATTCTAGGAAAAAGAGTAAAGGCAGAAGAGCCACGTGTACAATGGAGAAACCTAATTTTGGAAATTAAATGCAAAGACGTAGAAATGGCTATGCATCTAGCCCAATTCATAGGGCAGGCCAAAAGCATTACTTGAGATGTGCTTTATGCAGGATGTATGATTTCTTTGTATCATAAGACAGTCACCACCAGTGATGGAACAAGAAATAATGGCATGTAGGAACAATTCCTGGGCATTTACAGTCAAAGCACATACAGTCGATACATTATTATTTCATGGTGTAGACTGAGCTGCCCTCCATCCCCAAAAGCTAAACAATGTATTGTTTTTGAAAAGATTAAGAAGCATTAAATACTCTGTAAAATCCCAGTGATTGGAGCTGTGTTCATGAAGCCACTGCAGAATCTAATTCCACAGCTGCAACTTGATACAGGACGAACCACATTTAGGCTAATTTTTTTGTGAGAATATCAATATCCTCTAGTGATAAGAGGCAAAAGGCAGAGTTTGCTGCACAGTCACTACTGATTGGCCGAGTAAAGTCTGCCAGGTGTTTTCATTATTTTATGTTCCAGTTTACTCATCAATAAAATATAGATTATAATCTGATAACATTTACACAATTTCTGTGAGAACTAAATTTAAGCACTTAGAAAAGTACTTAGTAAATTAACAATAATAGTTTTACTCGTACAATTGGATAACTTCATAAATCTTATCCTGCTGATACTTTTGTGACTAAAAAGTTTGAGAAAGAGATCCAAGGTGGCTGATTACTAGCAGCTCAGGACTGTAGCTCCCAATGAAAGCGCAGAGAAGGAGAGGACGCCACATTTTCAGACAAATTTTTGTTGCTTATGGACCAGGAGATTCCCAGCGGAGGAGCCCCATGGGTCACCAGTGCGACTCTTGTGGCCGGCACGGAGGTATTGCCGGAGAGCCGGTACGGCGGTTCTTGGTGCAGCGTAAACGGGACTGGATCCCCTTTTGGTCGACATCTGGGCTCTGGGAAGGCAGAGTCGCCCATTCAGTTGATTGAAAAAGGGACTCAAGAAGGAAGCCAGACCAGAGATTCCTGGGCTCAGATTCTGGCGCTGGAAGTAAACAAGTTGGATGTCCACTCAGAGACCTAATTTGAAAGTCGGTAATTACAAAGACGACAGGTGGATAAACTTACAATGATAGGAAGAAACCAGTGTAAAAAGGCTGAGAATACTCAAAATCAGAATGCCTCTCCCTCTACAGGGGATCACAGTTCCTCATCAACAAGGGAACAAGGCCTGATGGAGAACGAGTGCATTCCATTAACAGATTTAGGCTTCAAAAGGTGGAGAATAAGAAACTTCTGTGAGTTAAAAGAACATGTTCTAGCCCAAAGTAAAGAAACTAAGAACTTTGAAAAAAGGTTTGACTAAATCCTAACGAGAAGAGACAATCTAGAGAGGAATATAAGTGACTTAATGGAACTGAAGAATACAATATGAGAACGCCGTGAAGTATGCACAGGTTTTAAGAGTCAAATTGATCAAGCAGAAGAAAGGATATCAGAGATTGAAGACCAACTGAATGAAATGAAACGAGAAGACAAGAGCCGAAAGAGTAAAAAGGAATGAGCAAAGTCTCCAAGAAATATGGGCCTATGTGAAAAGACCTAATTTACGTTTGATAGGTGTACCTGAATGTCATGAAGAGAATGAATCCAAGGTGGAAAATATTCTTCAGGATATTATTCAGGAAAACTTTCCTAACCTAGTAAGGCAGAAAAATACTCAACTTCAGGTAATACAGAGAACACCACAAAGATATTCCTCAAGTAGAGCAACCCCAAGACACATAATCATTAGATTCACCAGAGTTGAAATAAAGGAGAAAATTCTAAGGGCAGCTAGAGAGAAAGGTCAGATTACCCATAAAGGGAAGCCTATCAGATTCACAGCAGATCTCTCAGCAGAAACCCTACAAACTAGAAGAGAGTGGGGGTCAAATATTCAATATCCTCAAAGAAAAGAATTTTCAACCCAGAATCTCATATCCAGTCAAATTAAGCTTCATAAATGAAGGGAAAATACAATTTTTTACGAACAAGCAAGCACTCAGATTTCATCACCACCAGGCCTGCTTTACAAGAGCTTCTGAAAGAAGCACTATACACAGAAAGGAATAACCAGTATCAGTCATCCCAAAAACTTACCAAACGGCAAAGAGTATCTCCATAATAAAGAATCTATGTCAACTAATGGGCAAAATAGCCAGCTAGCATTAAATGACAATATTAAACTCACAAATATCAATATTAATCCTAAATTTAAATGGATTAAATGCCCCAATCAAAGACACAGACAGGCAAATCGAATAAAAAGTCAAAACCCATCGGTTTGCTGTATCCAGATCCATCTCATAAGCAAGGACACACAAAGACTCAAAACAAAGGGTTGGTGGAAGACTTACCAATCAAATGGAGAGCAAAAAAAAAAGAGAACAGGAGTTGTAACTTTCGTCTCTGACAAAATAGATTTTAATAGTAACAAAGACTAAAACAAACAAAGAAGGACATTACATAATGGTAAAAGGATCAATGCAACAACAGAAGTCAATGATCATAAATATATATGCACCCGATACAGGAGCACCCAGATACATAAGACAAATTCTTAATGACTTATAAAGAGACTTGGACTCCCACACAATAATAGTGGGAGACTTTGACATCACATTGTTAATATTCGGTGGATCAACGAGACAGAAAATTATGATTTGAACTCAGACCTGGAACAAGTAAACTCAGTGAATATTTATAGAATTCTTCACCCCAGGCCCACAGAACATACATTTTTCTCAGTATCATATTACACCTATTTTGAAAGTGACCACATAATTGGAAGTAAATCACTTCAGCATTTGCATAGCATTTCACAGACTAAAAATGAAATATTGGTTGGGTGTTTGTTTGTTATTTTCTTCCCTTATTCCTTCCTGTCTCCACTGTTAAGCACAATTATCTGCATAAAAGAGGTTTTTAACACCTATTTTTAGATTGCATTCCAGCCTAGGCAAGAGAGTAAGACTCCTGTTCTCTCCCCCTCTCTCTTTCTCTTTCTTTCTTTCAAAAAATAAAGTTTGAATAAATTATAACTCATTTTCTCTGAAATAAACTCATTTGTTCTCACAACTTTTTATCTCTATAATTCCTGTAAATATTCTAATATTCCCAAATGTTAAAGAAGGATCAAGTAGCTTAGTAAAATTTTCTCTACTGATCTGTGGTATTAATATCCTATCAGCTTTTTAAAAAAAATTAGAAGAGTTTATGAAAAGATCAGCTCCATAGGAATGGTGATGTCAGTGAAAAAGAAGAATATGACAATAATAGTAGTTATTATCTATCAAGGAGAGCAATCCCATTACTGGCTATATACCCAAAGAACTATAAATCGTTCTGCTATAAAGACACATGCACATGTATGTTCATTGCAGCCCTGTGTACAATAGCAAAGACCTGGAACCAACCCAAATGCCCATCAATGATATACTGAACAAAGAAAATACGGTACATATACACCATGAAATACTACGCATCCATAAAAAACGATGAGTTTGTGTCCTTTGCAGGGATTTGGATGAATCAGGAAACCATCGTTCTCAGCAAACTGACACAAGAAGAAAACCAAACACTACATGTTCTCACTCATAGGTGGGTGTTGAACAATGAGAACACATGGACTCAGGGAGAGGAGCATCACATACTGGGGGCAATTGGGCCGGGGTAGGGGAGAGATAGCGGGGGCAGTGGGGAGGGATGGG